ATTGATCCATTTGCCAGACGAATATACACCGTAATGGTAACAGACGTATTTNCCAATAATATCACACCGATTACCGTTACATTTTTCCTATAACTGATGCCATCAATATCCATTCGACCAGCAAACTTTTTCCTCCATCTTCCCTATTCTCTACAAACCCTTTCCAACATCCTTTCCTGGATCGCACCCACAAAGGAATTCAAACTTTCTGGGAAACGAGACGAGAACGAAAACGAGTCGATTTTTCCATTCGTTCGTAAAAGAAGAGAAAGAAGAACAGTTCATCTCGAATTCCAAGAAGAGGAAAAGAGAAGAGGGAGGAGAGAAACGATGGTGGTAGAAACAGCGATACCTGTCTTCGACCGAAAAGTTGATCGCGTGACTCTCTCTCTTTCTCTCTCTTCCTCTCTCTGTTTTAACGAGCTGAACACGCGAGGAAGGCGCACAAATGACAGGCATCGTGAGAAAAATTGGATCTTCCGGTTGGCCGGGTGCGTTACGGTTCGTACCGAAACTACGGTCGGTATATTTGCACGGCTATGAATAATCAATAAACCACCCGCACAGGAAAACGGTAAACAGATGTATCTCCGTTGACCTGGAGCGAGACAAAAGGGAGATAAAACGAAAAACAAAAAAAAAAAAAGAGAGAGCGGGGGAGAGAAAAAAGAAAGGAAAAGAGAAAAAAGGAGAACGACGAGAGACGAGATCGACGACAAGCGGGAAGCACACGCTCGGCCATTTCTAGATTAGATCGGTTCGATTTTTCTGCTCGTTCGTGGGTATCGTTCGCGACAAAGAGAAGGGTATAGCGCTATCGGCTATCGATTCGACCACCGTTTCCGTCCAGATATATACATATACATATATATATATAAATTCATGAAAGTCTGTGGAATTGGAACGAGCTCGATCCTCCGTCACGTGAAATTTTTAGAAGAATCAATTTTTAAGTTTTTAGTTAAAATATAAAATAGAACCCTTATCTCGGCTCGTGCATACATAGTTTTTCGTAGAAGGGATGATGATGAGGCATAGGGATAGAAATAGAATCGTCCCGATAATTTGGAAAAATTTTTTCGAATCGCATCTTCCATTCCTGTTATTCCTTCCTTCTTTCGTCGTTTGTTCGGGAGGGAAACCCTTCTTTTGAACAACTCGGAGCAATTACTACGGTCGTTTCGCAGGAAAGAACGCAGTTACACCTCCATTCCTGTGAATGTAGGTCAGGAAGAACGGCTGAACGAGGGGGGGGTTGGAGCCATTACCACGTCGAACGTAAAACCGTTTATCACTCGCACCCCATTTGCATGCCTAACGACGCTGCCTGCCTTCGATCTACCCTTTCTCCTTATCCCTTTCGACTGTCATATATTTTTTCTCTTTATACGTTTTCTTTTTATATATAAATTTCGTCACGAAATTCGTATTAAATTTTTCCATTTTTTATTTAAATTCCTCTTATCTCGTATAATTTAAATATCTCAGCTTTTTCAACCCTCTCATTCTACGAATTATGAATTCACATATCTTTCTCTTTAGAAATTAAAAAGAAAAAAAATGTCACGATCATTGATATTTTTATTCGAGAATCTGGTAATATATTTGTGTTGCTTTTTTGCGAAGAAAATGATAAAATGCGCACAAATTGGGTACCGGAGAATTTAATAGCGTTTGCTGAATTTTGTAACTATGGAAAAAATTGCGGAATTGAAATTTAAGTAACTTCAGTTGAAGCTTTTTCAGATTGAGAACGGTCGATTCGGCGATTGCTAGATGTAGAAATGTCAGAGAGAGATTTATTGTCTGCTGAATCGAACCAAGGAACCTCGTAATTGTTGCAAGACACGCTATCGTCGCTACCATCGAAACCTTTCATCTTCCTTATAATGCTATTTTTGTGTCTCTCTAATATACAAATTTATTACCGATCCGTGTCATAATTCTGATTTATAGAAACCGATGAAATCCATCCCTCTTAAAGATTCTTAGATTTCAGCATTTAAAAAATCTATTCTAATCTATTATAGAAAAAAGAAGTCGAACTGAAGTCTGAATCTAACGCCAAATGTACTTGCTTTAAAATTATTTCTATTTTCGAATTTCGATAAATATATTATCACATCTCTCTCTATTTACAATTACAAAATTTTCAAATAAATCTATATCAAAAATTATTTTTATTCGCGCTCGCTCTCTTCTTTCTCACTCTCCATTTACCCCCAAATCGCTTTCTATCGATCAAAGTAAAACGAAACTTTATAGCTAGAAAGAAGAATATTAGGTCACTGAATAATGAAAATTTAAAGTTTCGTAACCTAGATACGATTGAATGCATCGAACAATAAAAAATTACGACACCATGTTATCCGATGAAAATTTATTCACGGGGCAAAGAGCGAGGAAAGACGAAGAAGGGGTGGAAAAAAGGGTCTCATCTCTTATCGAGACTCGCAATAAAATTGGATAATGAGCATTCTTTGGCAAGGCGCGTGCAGATTTTAAAGATTTCAATTTTCAAATTACGATTCCGCAATCTCGATTCGCTGCAGGCTTTATTCGTTTGATTTCTGGCGAGCCACAGGATCTATCGATCTATAGCGCTCTGGAAGCTTTCTGGAAAATTGGTGACACGGGAATATAGAAACGTTCTGCAAAAACTTTTATATTTTGCAGATGTTCGTGTCTACTACGTGCACACGGTATATTCTACATTTATATAACATTTCAATATAACATTTTTATTTTTCGTTTCACTTTTGTAGTTTCGAAGAGATAAGCTCACGTATCTCTCGCAGAATAAAACTTCTTTAATCAAAACAAATTTCCTTCCTCTGGTATAATAACTTTTCACTATTAATCTCGGAACAAGATGCAAACACTTATTCCGTTTCTCTGATTCGAATTTCACGAATTTCGTTACTAAAAATGCATCATATTATTATTATTATTATTCAAATGTTATTGTATCAAAAATGAATCATTAAATTCCTCTTTTCGAGATAATTAATCAACGACAATTGGACTTTTACAAAACACACGAATTTAAATACATTTCTAGCTAAATTTCTTCTACCAAGACAAACCCCTCTATCTCTCCACTTCTTCGCCAACAATTTTCCTCGCGTTAAGCTCCCGACGAGGACGTCATTTTCACTTTCTCCACGAGGCTTTTTTTTCTTTTCGCAGCGACACAAATCGTCAAGCCTCGTCCACTTCCTCCTCCTTAGATTATCCACGAAACGAATCCTCGTCCAACCTCGTCAAACATATTTCTCAAACGTACTACTATATTTCTCAAACGGCCCTTCCTGCTCTTGTTCCATCCCCGTGAATTTCACGGAGGTGGTTGGGGTGGTTTTGACTCGTCCCCGAATTATTCTCTCGCTTAAATGGAATCCAAGTCTTTGTCTCCGTCCTTCGAGACTTCGCTCGTTGATTTTCTCCTCGCGTGTAAATCTCTTTTTCTTTTTCCCCCTCCCCTCCCCAGAGGAACAGTTTCTTCTGGAAACTGAGTTGGAGAACTCCCTTTGTGTCCTTTTCGCTGTTTCCTTTGTCGAGAATATTTCCTTATTTCCTTCTTTTTTTTTTTTTTTAAAATAGGAAACTTTGTCGTCGTATACGAAAAAATATACGAAACGAGTGCAAAAGAACGAGATAAGATTTCGTACACACGTACCGCGAAATTCATTAATTACTCGGAGGAGTGGCTAAGTTTAGATATATATAGAGAGAGATTTCATACACACACGGATCTTTTAAAGGAGATGGATCGGTGAAACGTGATGCGTCAGTCTGGTTAAAAAGAGAGAGAGAGAGAAAGAAAGAGAGACTCGTTCGTAAGTTATTCCGCTTCGAAGCCGCTCGCCCGTTCTTCTTGCTCCTGACACAATTTCCGATTACTCGCCTCTATGAATTATAAATTGGCTTGGAGTCGAGAGGAGAGAGAGTTGGGTTGAGTGTAGATATATGTTTTTTAAACACGTATGAAAAAAAGTGGATACGTGTTCGCCAGGGCTGAGGATGCGAGGAAGCGTGTCATCAATTATTAATGACCCTTGGACTTTTTTCCCCTTGATCTTCTCTCTCCTCGCGAGATTTTATGGGGAAGAGGGGGCAGGAAAGGGGGATTTTTTTTTATCCGGCCAGTTTCTAATTTCGCGATTATAGTGGAAAATCGCACGAAACTCGTTTCAATGGAAAATTAAAATTTCTCCTCGGATGGAGGAGACGCTTCTGAGATATAAGATGCTTAACTGGTGTCTCCCTCTCTCTCCCTCTCTCGCCTCTCGAGCTTCTAATTATTTTTATTATTATTATTATTATTATTACGTTTAAAAATTCTTAGAAATTCTCGTGGCGTAAATAAAGTTAAATTCTCGGCGATGGAAAATACACTCTTAATAATTACTTTAAATCTCTTTTTTCCCTCGAGAAAGAGAGAGAGAGAGAGAGAGAGAGACGTTATTATATACCCGTTATTATATATAGGCGTGGCCGAGTAAACAACAAGCAGGCAGGAATTCTTATCTGTCGAGTTCCTAATTGCAATTATCTTCAGAAAATTCTTTAAAAAGAATTTCGTCAAAGTGAAATTAAACTTTGCAAAGTGGAAAACTTCCCCTCCCTATCCATTCATTTTTTCAAACTGTATTATCAAACTGTAGTATCAAATTTCCCGTATCGATTATACATAAAAAGAAAATTTCTCAAACGTGCCACCAAAGATTTTTTTCTTCGCTTACTTTTTCATCACTCGTCGACTTTTCAATCTCATCTATTTAAAAAAAAAAGAAATGTATCGAAACAATCGAGAGCTAGTCAACCACGCCTAAATATATCGACTATTTCAAAATCAACATTCGGCGGAATATCAATATACACGCTTTCGCCCGATCGAGGAAGGAAACAAAACCGTTTGCCCCGCATCGACGCTAGAATGGAACGCATCACGATACACGAATGTACGGAGGAATGAAACGCGATTTTAATGGAACGAACGGCCAACGATTTTCGTCCAACGTGTGCATCGCGAAAGCGACGAGGAGATATTCGAGAAACTTGGCCGATTACTTTTAATTAACGAAGCCTCGGTTAATTGAGAACCGTCTGAAATTGCCACTGCTAATTACAATTACGAGGGTCGCAACAGTCGTTTCGAATTCGATCAGCGAGGGTTACAATGCGATCGATATCCAAAACGATTTCCTTTATCACGTGAAACGCACAGCAGCGTTTGAGCAGCTGTTAAATACCAATTGGAAACTGTCGATTGATCGCGTGGAGATTCGCATCAGTTTTTTAAGAAGAGAAACGTTAATTACGTTAATATTTTAATACGAATAAATGTGGTTAAATGTGCACAAATTTCGTGGAGATTAATAAATTACGAAGCGTCTAGAATTTTTAATAAATTGTTTCGATAAAAGTAGAATTATATACGCCCCGGTTAATAGTTTCAGAATTGAACGATGACGAGGAATTTTTAAAGTTTAATCGTTGGGAATGACTTCTCAACGGTTAGAGAGAACGAGATACGGGATTAAAATGAGATAATTAAACAGAAATTGATCGTGGAAACAATCATTTTCTAACTACAATTTTTTAATTCAGTTAACTATAAAGTTAATTATCAATCGTTCGATAATTGAGCTAACTCGACTTAACGACGAATTAAATGGAAATATCAGAGATTTGCTTGATTCTGATGCACGTTTATTTTATATCATGCAGGTGCAATCATTTATCACGGTGATGTTATTGCGAGCAAGTATATTTCGGATATTTCCATCCATCATCGTTGTAGCTCAGTTGTTATCAAATCGATCGATACTCAACTTTACAGTATAATTAAAAAATTTTAGAATAAAAACTGTTCGTTTTTCACACTCCTTTAATTTTAAACAGGATATCGACATATTCATAACACATATTAATAACAAAATATACAATTTCAAAAAACAAATTCTTTCACGAACAATTCAGTAAACGATTCAGTTTGACGAGGTGGTTCCTCGGCCAATGGACTCGTATTTGCACGGCTTCTCCCTCATTATTGTCCAACCGAGGGGGTTGCAACAGGGATAAGCCAACAGAACAGAGAGAGAAAGAGAGAGAGTAAAAACGACACGAAGCAATCGCACCCTGTGGCGTCGTTTTCCGTCGCAGCGTCCTTTATTGCCCCCGATAAATGTGTTTCCACGGGGCGTTTCGTGGGCGTCCTTTGTCCCCGCGTTTGCACAGCTCCAAGCTGGAGCATCGGATCCGGAAATCGCGGTGGAATCGAAACCGAAGTCCAGGGAGGGGAGGGGTAGAGATAGCCTTTCCACGGGGCTCTTATTTTCGGCGGATATCGACGGGGGACTTGGGCGACGTGGATCGGTTGGATTCGAAGAATGGGGGCGAGAACCGTGGCGGATGATGAGGTATTGAAAGGATCGTTCTCGTTCCGTGGATTTAGATGGAAATCCACGAGATCGAGAGTTTGAGGCTATCGACGGTATTGCGCGGAAATTGAATATCTGTGATAATTTGAGAATCGATCGTCATCCTTTCATCGTTGCGCCTGACAAGAAAGGATGAAAATGTAACGATCCAATAACGAAAAATATCGCGATTCTGAGAAGTTGAAAGATGGGACAACACCATATTTCCAATTTCCAATATTATATTAATCAAATGTAAATGATTATCTGAACGTGTAAAAATTAATTTTTCGTACGCAAGCATCAATGATAAATTTAATTCAAGAAATTTAAGGGGAAGTAAAAAGATTTCGAGAAGATCATCATGGAGTACACTTCCATGAAAACTCCTCGATCAAGATTTGTTTCCACGCGTGAAAAATAGAGAGAAAGATCGTAAAGGAATTTATTAATTAAACTTCGTGCGTAATATCATAAAGGAATCGATAAACATAAGATAAACCACACGACGCTCTTATAACATCGAACAATTCTTAAAAATACGTCTGAGAGGCATCAATTCTTCCAATGGCGATACTCCTCGAGTATTGGTATCTGTGAAATTATTCCATCGCGGTATTAACACCGCGAGAGATCGTAAAAGGCGGCACGGATCACGCGACGTGACAAATATTTAATTAAAGGGATTTCAAGGCTTTGAAATTTAGATGGGAATCCTCGAGCGCCGACGCGACTGACCCAGAAACATCGGATATTCTTTCAACCTCTCCTCCCCCTCACCACCCCTCTCTTTATCCACATAGTCGCGCAGAGGCTGTTTCCAGAGACTGAAACGACGCCAAGTTTCATCGTCGAGCCTCTCCTCCTCTGTGCAACTCATGCATTTATTCAACCTAATTACAGACACCGATCAGAAATTCTTCATCCCTTCCCGCGCGATATCTTATTCCCTCGTTTTCCAATCCTCCCTTCCAAACGTAAGATGCAAGGCCTATCAATTTGGACGAGGATGAAGGGAAAGCGCGGGGAAAAAGACTAACTATTCGTAGGTTCAAAGGATGTACAGAGTGGCTTGTAATTCGTACGAATAGATATTTAGAGAGATTGTACGAGTGATAATTTAAAATTTTATAGAATATTGATTTGGTTGAATCAGAATTCGGTTGAATTTTCAATTGGACAGGATCGAACGAGAATATTTTATGACACATCGTAAGGATTCTACGTTTTCTTCGTGCACAGAATAACCCTTCACCGATTGTTCTCAATTATATTCTGATCCATCCTCAAACGCATATTTCTCGAAAATAATCTTGATTCCCTTATTCTTATTTCGAGCCATAAATCATCCTGACCTCGAGGTAACACGAATTACGAGACACCCTATATATCATTCGACGTTCGATCGGCGCCTTTCGTTTTTTTTTTTTTTTTTTTTTTTTTTTT